CCCATAGGAGCAGCGTCCCACGGAAGTCCACTGTCTGTAAAAGTCCTCCGTCCCCCATCGCTAACCCTGCAGCCACAGAGATAGTGCCCACGGGAGCAGTGTCCCATGGGAGTCCACTCCACACAGCAGCACCATGGTTTAAAAGGCAGTAAGTGTCCACGCTGGCCAAACTAGGTTCAAGTTGTGCCTTCCCGAGCACACTGTATCACCTCAGGCAAGTGGTCTAAGTGTCCTGTGATTCAGTTTCCTCCTCTGTGTCATGGGAGATAATAATAGTTTTTACCTCCGAAGGAATGGTGAGGCCTGGATGAGTTGATAGCTAGAAACTCCGAATGGGGTCTGATACAAAGGACATGCCACTTATCAGGACTTCACAGGGCAGTAAAATGACTGAGCTGGATGTCCACACCCCTGCTTCCATCCTGCCCTACTCATGAGCCATGCTGGATCTAGGCCTTGGTCCCCCACAGAGGCTTTTTCATGACATCCTTCCATTCCCCAAATTCTGTGATAGCCTCAGGTGGGCTAAGCAGGCTTCTTATTTCTCTGACGGAATGAACTGAGCTGATTCTCAAGTATTGTCATAAACTCACTGGGATGGTGTATATTTAAGAACTTGCAGCAGAAACCAAAACTGGGGATGTGGCTCACTGGGTAGAGTACTTGCCTAGCATATGCAAAGCCTTAGGTTCAATTCCCAGGACCACAAAAATGGGCATGGTATGCTGTGGGATAATGCTCTTGTGCACTGTAAAGATTTGGCACTCATATTAGTTTAATAAAAGGCTGATTGGCCAGTAGCCAGGCATGAATTTTAGGTGGGGCAGCCAGAATAAGAGAATTCTGGGAAGAGGAATGGCAGAGAGTCACCGGCCAGATGCAGAGGAAGCAAGATGAGAATGCCTCACTGAGAAAAGGTATCAAGACACGTGGCTAAACATAGACAAGAATTATGGGTTAATTTAAATTATAAGAGCTAGCTAATAATAAGCCTGAGCTAATAGGCCAAACAATTTATAATTAACACAAGCCTCTGTGTGTTGATTTGGAACTGAATGGCTATGAGACCAGGTGGGTTGGAAACTTCCATCTACAAATGGTGCCCAAATGTTTGGTAAGAATCTCCACATAAAGCCTAAAAAAGCTTTTTAAAAAAGGATTCTAGACAGACAAGAACGAGTCAAGTGCAGCTTCTTGATAACCATCTTTTTTTTTTTTTTTTTTTTTTTTTGGTTTTTTAAGACAGGGTTTCTCTGTGGCTTTGGAGCCTGTCCTGGAACTAGCTCTTGTAGACTGACAACCATCTTTTATCTGGTAGGCTCTGTTTGCTAGAGGCAAGCAGAGGAATAGCTCCTTTAAGAAAGGCTTCCTGACTCAGCATTAGTGGCAAAAACCTTGCAGCTCTTTTAAGAGGCTCTGCCACCAAACACTTAAATGGTGTTTATGAGCAGCGGGTATCAGGCTTCTTGGTGGTGGCATAAACCCAGAAACTCCACAGAGTTGTGGCAATAAATGAGGCTCCTGTCAGTACCTCCACCATGAAGCTAGACTCTCAAAGAGCTAAGGAATGGGATGAAGTCAGCTGCCAAAGTTGCAGCTTTAATCCTAGCCATGCCTCTTAGCTGATTAAAGACTCACGTGATCCAAAAAAGATAGAGATATACAGTAAAAACAGATTCAGAAAAAAACACAAACAAAAAACCCCAAAAACCTCTAAACAGTTTACAGTGTGTTTATAAATATATATAGGCTTAGGGGGAAAAAGAAAAAAGAATTAAAAAAATTCATAAAAAAAAAGAAATAGAGTAGCTGGGCATGATGGTGCATGTCTTTAATCCCAGCACTTGGGAGGCAGAGGCAGGTGGATCTCTGTGAGTTTGAGGCCAGCCTGATTTACAGAGTGAGATCCAGGACAGCCAAAGATACACAGAAAAACCCTGTCTCAAAAAAACAAAAAGTATGGGGCTGGAAAAATGGCTCAGTGGTTAAGAGCACTGACTGCTCTTCCAGAGGACCCAGGTTCAATTCCCAGCACCCACATGGCAGATCACAACTGTCTGAAAATCCAGTTCCAGGGGATCTGACACTTTCATACCAATGAACATAAAATAAAAAGATAAATAAATCATAGAAAAATTAAAAATAAAAGAAATAGTTTTTTAAAAGGCACATAAAGATGGAAAATACACAGAGAGTCTGGATACTGTATATTATTGTGTGTCTTTGTATTGTTCTACTGCTGAGGAAGGAGCAACAGCTGCTAAAAGGACATTTGATTATAAATACTGCTGGATTAATCCAACCTATATACATTTTTAAAATGTCTTGACTTCAAAATTTAAGTCAAAAGAGATGTTGCTTTGGAGAAGAGGTTTTGCTTTTATTTCCAAAGGAAATGAGAGGCTGTGGACTCATTCTGGGTTAAGAAAAATAAGGTTTGATTGAGGAAGACCACCTGAGAAATCTCCAATGGGAAAGAATGGCCCCAATGAGCCAATGTCTCAGAGCACCTCTGTTGCAGTTTCCTCTGAGTTCTGCATCCAGAACAGCTTCAAGGCTGCTGGCTGAGGTAATCTAGTCTCACAGATACTCCAGTCAGGACTTGACCATAATCCTAAATTTTCTTTGGGTTCCCAAAGAGTACCAGCACTGCCAATCAACAGGAAGTAGCCTAGAAAACTATGCCCACATTTTAAAAATGTATTATGTTTGTTTTTGTTTAGAGTATTAGTTACAAGTTGTTATGGATAATGGCCAGGAAAAAAGCTAAACAAAGGAGATTAGATTCAGGGTTCTTGTTTTGAAAAGAAAAAAGGAGAAATGGTGTGGGATAATGTTCTTGTACACTATAAAGATTTGTCACTCGTATTGGTTTAATAAAATGCTGATTGGCCAGTAGCCAGGCAGGAAGTATAGGAGGGGTGATCAGACTAAGAGAATTCTGGGAAAAGGAAAGGCAGAGGGTCAGTTACCAGTCAAATGCAGAAGCAGCAAGATGAGAATGCCTCACTGAGAAAAGGTATCAAGACACGTGGTTAAACATAGACAAGAATTATGGGTTAACTCAAGTTGTAAGAGCTAGTTAATAATAAGCCTGAGCTAATAGGCCAAACAGTTTATAATTAATACAAGCCTCTGTGTGTTTATTTGGTACTGGATGGCTATGGGACTGGGCAGAACAGAAAGTTCTGTCTACAGAAATGCATGTAACCCCTGGAAGAAGAAGGCAGGAGGATCAGTAGAAGTTAAGGTAATCCGAGGGAGCACTGTCTCCAGGGTGAGGAGTCTGCAACCCCAAACGGGGCTAACTCTTACCCCAGGTCCCTTCTGAAGGCCTGACGTCCTTTCCACTAGACAGAAAGACATTGAGAGCTTACCCACTGAGGACCCTGAGCCTAAGAAAGATCCCGAAAATCTTGCTCCTCTCTGCCCCAGCTGGGGAAGGAAGAGGACACTAGGGCCTGCAGCATGGGTAGGAATTTTAACTCTCTTTTCCCATTGTCTCTTGCAGACTATTAAAAAGACAGAGGTACCTTGCACATTCGTGGTACTTAGTGAGCCCTCTATGGCCATGCTCTGGGAGCCCCACTCCCAGTGCAGAGGTCCAGGCAGCGGGGCACTGGGTGCGGCCTCCTCCTCAGAGAGAACTAACTGCGGACACTTCAGCTGGTCTCGTCAGCTCTACCTTCTAGCACATTCTCAACCCAACCTCCTATCCATCCCCATCCACACAGCACACTCATCTTCTACCTCCAACCCAAGCTGCCTAGCCATTGGGGATCCTTAAAACCCCCCAAACTAGATGGTTGGCTGTGTAAAGAACTTCCGAGGTCCGGTCACCAAACAGTTCATGCCCGTCAGTACAGCTCCTGCTTTAAAAACCCGGGTCAGGGCATCGTGGGATTGCCCTGATGGAGGAAACCGAGGCACAGCCAGCTCAGCAACGGGCCTCTGTTTCCACCAAAAGGAATGCCAGGGCTAGGACTCCATCTGCGGGCACACTCTCAGCACCCCGCAGGTGCCAGCACTAGGTAGGAGCTGGCGTCTGTCGTCTCGGGTCACCTGCCTCCACCTCCGACTTCCCTCAGGTCCATCACCCAGGGCTCCAGGAAGTTTCTTTCTCTGTGCGTCCCCTTTATGCGACCTCCTCTTGGAGGCCACCTCCTCAGCATGGCCCTCCCTGAACATCTTTCGAACACAGTCCGCCTTTCTCCCTTCATGCCAGCTAACTTTAGTTTGTTCACAGGCCCCTGCCCCTTTCCCTCATGACAGGAGGGACATCCCTATTTAAGTTTATCTGTCTTTCTTTCTAAAATGTTCCAGAACTTCAGTTCCACAAAGGCCTGCATCCCGGCCTAGCACTGAGCAGGTAGGGGTGGTCAGGCCTGTGCTCTACACTGATGGACCAGGAGCCTGTTGCTCATAGTCCAGGGTCAGCACTGAGGCTCCTGACCCACCAGGGCGGAGGTGAAGCTCCTACACTGTGCCCACTTCCGTCCCTGGCTTCTCCTGCCACCTCAAATCTCAGACTTATATCTTTCCAGTGGGAATCCCCTCTACGCTAGAATGTGAGAAGTATTTCCCCTCCCTAGGTGTTTATAGAAGGAAGCCTAACCCAGCCTCACTCATGACAGGCCTGAGGGAGGAGGAGTATATGAGTGTGTGTGCAAGTGTGTGAGTGTGTACAAGTGTGTACATGTGTGCGTGCACGCGTGCCTGTGTGCATGCGTGTGTGTGTTGGGATTGGGGGCTATGCTTCTTTCCTTCTGGCTTGGGACACAGAGCAGCTCCCAGCTCAGGGTGCCGTGGAAGACCTCTGCTCACCAATGGGTACCCTGGCACACCTCAAGACTGACCACCATCTCCTGAGCATCTTGTGCCCTACCTGCCAGACCTGGCTCTGTTCCCAAAGCACTTCCGAAGTCACAAGGTCCTGCTCAGAGGAGTCCCTTTAGCAGCCCCCCGCCCTGGCCCCAGAGACCCCAGAATAAAGGTCTTACCCATTTCAATCCCACAGATGACCAGGGCAGCGATCACCGCGCCGGCTGATGTCCCAGCAAAACGATGGGCTGTGTCCAGCATCCTCGGGGCCAGGTCTCGCAGAGCGTCCACAGCCCCAGCCTGGTAGTAGGAAAGGAACCCGCTCCCCGAGAAGGAGATGGAATGAGGGGTGTCTGGGTCCCCCTTGAACACCTGTTCCTCCATCTTCGGGGCCTCTGGCCTCCCAGTGGAGGCGGAACCCGCACCCGTCTGTCTCCTTCTCCGCCAGCCAAGAGCCTGGAATGTGGCGACTCTACTGGCCCAGCCAGGCACCCATGGGTGGTTCGCCCAGCCACTGCCTGGGCCTGTTTAGCTTTGCTAAGAGGCACCCCAAAAGACTAATAAGGGACCCCAGGGCCTGGATAAAAGGCAGACAGCCCTCAGAGTCATGGGCAAGGTCTTGGTCCTACAGACCCCACGCTGTCTCCATGACCTAACTAGACTCAACGTCAGGCACAGGTTCCTCGTGCTCTCTCCACCCATCCCAGGTGCACCTAGGAGTGGGGCATTCCCTGATCCCTGTTCCGGAGAGGCGGAGAGGCGGTGCCTCTCAGCCCTCAGCATCCAGTTGCAAAATCTCTGCCAGTGCCTCACCCGGTGCCTCCCTCCCTGACAGGCTGTTGCAGGGACAGAGTTATGAGCCACCCCCGCAGGGCTCCTGTGTCCCCCCACTTAAGCCCCAGGACGAACTGCTAGGTGGCTCTGGCTTTCCAAGGGGAGGAGTAACTCCCACCCGCACCCCTCCCCCACCCCTCCCCAGACTGGAAATGTTCTTACATAAGCGCCTCTCTGTTTATTCTCATGTTAGGATTGGCTCTGGGTGAAACTGTACCAGAGAAGTCGGACTCGGAGGGGGGGCGAGGGGGCCTTCTTAAGAGTCTAGGAAGGCAGGGAGCAGAAAGCTAGGTCATGCCAAGATGATCACACGGATAACAGGTTGTGGGTGGGAGGAGCGGGCATGGGGTCCCATGTGGGGACATCAGGGTCAGGGCAGGAAGATGTTTCAGGACAGGGGCTTAGGGGACCATGGTTAGCTCTAGGGCTGCCCAGCATAACTCCTGGGGAGGAGGAATTCTCTTCCCAGCCCAAAATGTTACTGATGATCACTAAGGCAGCAAGAATGTCCCCGCTCCTCCTCCCTCTCCTCCTCTCCCCTCCTCATTCTCCTCCTCCTCTTCCTCCTCCACCATCACAGCCATCACCACATGGCAGTAGGACCAGAATTAGAACTGAGACATCAAGTTGTCCCCCTCCAAGTCCCAATCCACCCCAGACTCTGTAGGTGGTAACATCAATGTCTCTCCGGGTCCCGGGAGCTCCCATCAGCTCTGATCCAAACTGGAATTACACAGTAAGAGCCATGTCGAGCACCCACTAACGAGGGGGTGCCCCAACGTTCCATCTTATGCAGATAGCTTCAGACAGCTAATTGCCAAATTTGGAGGGCAGATTTTGATTAGGAGCGTGTGTGCGCGTGCGCATGCACTCATGTGTGCGAGTGTGCAACCATGCGAACACGCTAAGAAGCAGGGGCCAATGACTTTTGGCAATGGAAACAAGAAGTGCCCCTCCTCCCCTTCCGCAGCTTCCCCAAACCAGATACTAACAGGTTTCCTGGGAGTCTGCCAGGCACATGTGAAATAAGCAGAGACCCATCCAAGAGACTCTGTAATTAACTACTAAATTGTGTAAGGCTAGATTGCTTCCAGAGGAGTTAAGGAGGGGGAGCCCTGTGAGCTGGAACATCAGAGAAGCTGGGGATGATGTGGGGAGACCAGGAGGACGCAGGGCGGGGGACAGCTCTGGCTTTCTTGGGAGGGGAGGCCTAATGGGTTCAGAGGTACAAGAGGAAGTTGACTCCTCAGCTCTGCTATTTACACGCCGTATGGCCCACACAACGTCTTTGCTCTTCTCCCCGTTGGCAAAGCAGGCAGTAGTCCCCAAATTGGACAGGGGTGCTGTAAAGACGACAGATAATGGCTGAGTGCCTGGCAGGCGGTGTGCCTGTCATTATCAGAAGGCAATAAAATCCACGACTTCTGGAGCAGACGGAGCCTGGAGTCCGCCTAGGAGAAAGCAAGGTCAGAAGGGAAACAGTGACCTCCACGAAGCCCGTGCAGCCCGTGACCTCCGTGTAGCCCGGGAAGCACGTGACCTCCGTGAGCACACAGCCGGGCTTGACCGTGCACCTCAGCTGGCGAGTCTCGGAAGGCAGGTGAGGTCAGGGCTGATGATCCAAGAAAACAGGGTGGCCAGGCCGAGTGACGACTTGTCAGCAAAGCTGTTGCCACAGAGAGTCCCAGACGGGGGACTGGTTGGGTGAGCGAAGTGATTCACAGGCAGATAACGCATGTTTTTCAGCTTGAGGGTAGGGAGAGGCAGGGTGCCTTTGGCAGGCCGAGAAACCGGGACGCAGCTGAGGAAACTGGATGGATAAAGATTTTATTTATTTAATTTAATATCTGGGGGTTGAAAACCACTGGCTTTCCTTGCAGAGGAACTGGATTTGAATTTCAGCACCAACATGGGGTCTTAAACCATCTGTAACTCCAGTTTCAAGGGATCTGGTGCCCTCTTCTGGCCTATAGGGGTACTGCATGCACATGGACCACAAGCCATACATGCTGGCAAAACAGCCCTACTCATAAAATAAAAAGATTTTCAAATAAAATATTTTTAGCCGGATGGGCATACCTAGATCTTTGAGTTTGAAGACACATTGGTCTACTATAGAGCAAGTTCCAGGACAGCCAGGGCTGCACAGAAAAACACTCCAGAAAATAATTTTTTTTAAAGGTGGTTGCACACCTTTAATCCCAGCACTCAGGAGGCAGAAGCAGGCTGATCTCCAGGAGTTTGAGGCCAGGCTGGTCTACATAGTGAGTTCCAGGCCAGGCAATGCTACACAGTCAGATTTTGTCTCAAAATGAAAAAAATAAGTGCATGTTTGTGCTGTGAATTCGGTCCCATAGCCTTGTATTGGGGCAGCTTGGCCTAATGGGCGTGGTCTTCTGAGGATGCGTGACCTGAAACGGACCTGGGCGAAGGGTTACGCGGTCTCTTGGATGGTGTAGGAGCTGCCAGAGCCATGGCTTGGAGCTTCCCCCTGGCCTTTTTGGGAAGGAGGGTGTTGCATCTGCAGTGCGGAGAGCTGGTCCCCGAGCGGGAAGAGCCAAGCAGCTGGTGACGAGTCTCGAGTTTCTCATTCTGTCTTGTAATCGTTGTGCACGAATTTTGACATTAATAAAAGGTAACACAATCTCTAGACTTTTCTTTTTTGCTTGTTTGTTTTTCAAGACAGGCTTTCTCTGTAGCACTGGAGCCTGCCCTGGAACTTGCTCTAGTAGACCAGGCTGGCCTCAACTCGCAGAGATCCGGCTGCCTCTGCCTCCCGAATGCTGGGATTAAAGGCGTGCACCACCACTGCCGCCCAGTCTTCCCTCTTTATGTGTGTGTTTGAGCTGTCTGCACCCTAGGGAAATCCTGACCCAGATACCACAGATGCCCTAGAGAAACAATTACATCACTCACAGAACCCGGTCCTACACCAGATGCCCTCAGTTACAGCAAGGACGCAATCGTGATGCCTCCCTAGAGTGGGACACAGGAGTGAACACCGTGTCACAGAAAGACACCCACGGCACTGACCCAAGGCCATTACTGTGGGCACAATAGAAAGCAACTGTAGCTGGACCTGGTGGTGCAGGCCTGCATACCCAGAATGTGGGAGGCAGAGGCAGGAGGATCAGGAGTTCAAAGACAGCCTTGGCTATGAGGCAAATTTGAGTCCAGCCTGGTTCAGGTGTGGGACTGGCAGAAGGTTGAGTGAGTAAATTGTGCGTGCTGCTGGCGCGAGGCCCCGAGGTTCCAATCCCAGAAGCTACAAAGGGCCAGGTGCAGCGGCAGGCACCTGTAATTCCGATGCTCCTGAAGTGAGATGCGGGGTAGAAACTGGAGAACAAAAGGACTTTCCTGGACTCGGAGTTCTGAACCACACAATCGCAAATTTAAAGCCCTACAAGCTAAGGAGGGCAGACAGAGGAGACGTGGTTGTGGAGGGGAACAGCTGAAGTTGTGAAGGGTGAGGGGTGGAGGCAGATCTCAGTCCCAGGAGAGGGAGGACCGACCCACAGCCAACCGCACACCACAGAGGTGTCAGGTCCTCCAAAAGGACAGGCCCACTGACTTGGTCCAAAGTTGAGTTACCTGGTAAACACTCTGCTTTGCTTAGAAACCATGCAAAGTGGCTCTTGTTTGTCAGGAAAAGCCACTCCTACAGCCCCCAGTCTCCGGAGAAGGTTTCTAGTTCTCTCAACTCAAGCCTCCAATGGGTCAGAGCCCCACACTACCTCCCACGCCATTGCAGCTAACCTGCCCCCTCCCGCTGCAGCATAACCGGCAGGCTCTCCCGCCACTTCTACTGCCTTTGCTCCCACAGCCCCAGGAACTGCCTGTCTGTTTTCCCCACCTCTCTGGTCCCGAGAGGCAGCCACTGCAGATGCCTCTGGCTGTTCTCTCTCTCTTATCTCCAATAAAAACTTTCCCCTTAACCATAGAGTTCCAATGGTTTCTTTCCTGCGCCCCTCACATTCAAGGGGCATGGGCAGAGGCCCAAGTGTAGCCAACCCAGGACAGCCCGAGTGCTCTCCCCTCTGGGACCACACCTTAGTCCGAGTCCCAGCAGGGTCTGCAATCTTGTTTACAGAACTTGACTTCCGCACAAAGCTTCCACTCAGAGTCTGTCTCCGTGACCCTCATCTCTGATAACATCCGCCCTAGCGCTTTGAAGTCACTCCAGAGTCCTCTGTGCCTTCCTCACCCCAGGTGTGTGCGACACGCTTCTGTGGACCAAGGCCAGCCAACCGTGGGTGGGGTCTTTTCTAGTCCCCTTTCAATGCCTGGGTGTTCCTTCAGAACCTGCCGTGTTCAACTCAAAGGGAAGTTAGGGACAGAACGTAGTGGCTCAGTGACAGAGTACATGCCGGCTTATACAAGATCCTGGGTTCACCCCAGCACGGCAAGAAATAAAAATAAATAAATAGGAAGAAAGCTGCTCTGACAGGGTTATTGTCCTTGCGCTGTGGAAGTATGGTCTGGCGGAGGGTTACCCAAGCTTCCCTGGGACCCACGTAAGGGTCAGAATGAACTGACCTCCCAAAGTCGTCCTCCGATCTCCACGGTCACGTCATAGCACTCAGATGCCTGCAAAAACACCCCACATGCACACACACGAACAATTTAAAAATTACATTCAGTCAAGCAGTGGTGGCACACGCCTTAAATCCCAGCACTCGGGAGGCAGAGGCAGACAGAATCTCTGTGAGTTCGAGGCCAGCTACAGAGAAACACTATCTCAAAAAACAAACAAACAAACAAACAAAAAAGTTCACTAAGATGGCTCAGGGGTAAAAGTAAGGCACTTGCCTACAAACCTGGGACCCAAGTTCAATCCTGGGACCCACATGTGGAAAGAGAGGCCAACTCTAAGGCTGTCTTCTGATTCGCTACTAAGTATGAAGCGGGCCATGGCAGCTCAAAGGAGAACACCCCCTTCCCATAGGCTCAAATAGTTGAGTGCTTAGTCACCAGCTAGTTGAACTGTTCAGGAAGAATCAAGAATTGTGGCTTTGTTGGAGGGGCTGTGTCACTGGGAGTGGGCTGAGCTTTAGAAAGCCCACGTCAGGCC